AATGGAAGGGTAACTGATGTGATACAGCAATCTGTATACGGGGTAAAATTGGGAGTTCATAACCCACTTGAATCAAACTGTGAAATATGATGTATTAAGAACTATGTAATGTTTTGAACGACCAACAATAAAAAAAAAAATCTTTCCATTGGTAGAACAATCATTTTAGTTATCCCAGTCCTTTAAGATTCCTCTGTGTGATATGATCACACATAAGATTTTAGTTAGCATTTTTCCTTTCTTAGTGTACACCTCTACAAATATGGGTTTTCAGTGAAGACAAAAAAAAAAAATCTACTTTACTTCCGTAAAACAAACAACTGACCACTAGATGGCAGTCAAAGCTTGGCTTCTTTGGTTTGTCTTGAGTAAAACACTTCAATCCAGTGAATTCATTCAGAGCTGGGACATAACCATCTCACTCCCCTAGCCCAACCTCTTCCTCAAGAAAAGTGCCACATAATAGGGAATGAGAAGTGAGGATTTGGAATCAGATCAATCTGGCTTTGAAAACTTGCTCAAAAATTAGTAGCTCTGAGCACTTAGGAAATAATTTCAAATTTTGCCACTTACCTTTAAAAGATGCCCCCAAAATTGTTACTACAATTTAAAGCCTTTTYCCTCTTGTTATATACTCAGAGGGAAGAGAGAGGGGATCCTGTGGTCTGAGAAAACAACCAACTCACAGCAATAGCAACAAATAGTTGGAYGCTATTTCCTTGAAAGATCCTTTAACCCCAGGTTGCTGCAGGGTTTTGGTTCCTTCCTCCATGCTATTTGCCACTGACAGCTCTGGATTATCTGGGACCAGCTCCTTTTTCTAATGTGCTCCTTCTTTAACCAACCTCCAAAGAAAACAAATCCTCTCTATGGTTACTTATGTAACAAACTCAAAAAATAACCTGCACCCTGGACTTCTCAAAGAGTTACTGGTAAGGCATCTCTGACTTTTCTACTTCTAGCTTCTCCCCAAGGTCCTTGTATAAGTTCCACACAGCCCAGTCCATTCCAAGCAGCGGTCRGGGAGAGACCTGGTGCCACGATCATGCCTAAGAAAGAAAATCTATTTCAGTTTGAATTCTGAATAGGAAATATTTTGTTGTCCAAAAGGAAGTTAATGTGTCCCTCATGGTACTACATGACTATAATGTCACAGAAACTGGGAACCATGTTACCCTAGAAAGGACGTGGCTATCTGAATGACTTTAGGTGTGAAACATGTTATTTAAGAGGTTAGAACAATGTGACATCACACAGCTCTTTCCACTAACAACAGCCAGTTGTCTGCAGAACACTAGGGGAAAGCAAAACCTTCCACAGAGAGCTCTGAGTCTTGGTTCAGAGCTTAGGCAGTGATTTTGAACAAGTGACACAACTAGCAATTGTGATTTTTAATATAATAAAAGTCCTGGAGTATGAGAAAAACAACAGGGGACACATAAATGTATTCAATGTAAAAGGGATTGTTTTCCTCAGTCTCACCAAGATTATCAACAGTCTTATTGAAGGGAGGGAAGTGGAGAATAAAATAAAATAATAAAATAAAACAATTATTTTTAGTTCCTTGAATATATATGTAATGTAAAAATGTCTTTGTTGATTTCATCTTGATCTAAGCTTTTGTTCTCACAGCAGGAAAGAAAGAGAAAAAAACATTGTGATTCAAAGTCAATGATCTCATCTGGTTTAAAACAAGGAGCAATCAAGATAAAGTTCTTCTCAAACTATTTCTCTTATGGGACCCACCTGCCTTTATTCTCAGTTGGTGTCAAGGTATCCTCTTGGCAGCAGGAGGAGGCAAGACCTCAGGTCTGTGTGCTGTCCTGTAGCCTTCATTGGTCCCCCGGGGAGTGTCTTCACTACTCAGCTCATGGCCTTCTGTCCCACATGCACGGAGTTGTGATTGATCCTGCCTAGTTCTTCACGGTATCACACTGTTATGCACTTGATTCTCACAAAAAC